CAAACCTTTGATGTAGGTAAACATTCAAACTTTAACTTCTTGCCTTCAAGCAAAGTTATGTTCTACTTTTCGTAACCCATTTGTAAAGATTTCCAGGAAGTAGCAATCTGGTAGCAATTTTAGTCGTGCTTAAACTCAATGTCAGAGACACTGGCATATTATGACCACACACCAGCTTAATGTACCAGAAAAGTAAGGGCCAAATACTTGGTAATAGCTATGGGAATTACAAATATAGATCTTGGGAGGACATTACAAGCCTGTAGGGCAGAGATAGCAAATGAGTTTCAACATCTAACACCAATTTCAGGTGTTAGCTGCCTGAATTGTGTTGAGGATTTTGAGGATGGGAGTTCGTGCTCTGGGAGAAAAGGTTTGTACTATGTTGTGATCTAATGTCAATAACTGCCCTGGGCAGGCAGGATCTGCCAGCTGTGTTCTAGGTTTGGGGTGTTCCATATGGCTCAAGGCAATTAGAGTTAGCCTTGGGGTCCTACAATACATTACGCCTGTTTTTCACTGTACAGCTACGTCATCTTCTCTGAAAACCAGTTCCCCCATCCCAGGCCCACCCCCTCTATGTGCATGAGACAGGAGATGCTTCCCTTACAGCATTTGAGTTTCCTGTCAGTAGTACAAATAAGTAGCAGAGACTAAGTAGTGCTTTTTATTTGCAAAGAAGAGAGGTCCATACTTAATTTAAGCAGAAAGAGAATTTTCTTTTGGAAGTTCGGAGAAGGAACAGGAAGACTGGTGGAGCACACTCAGGCAGGAGCCAAGGAAGCAGCACAGAGTTCAGGTTCTGCCATAGGGATGGTCTGCTTAGGATATAGGCACCTTCAGCACTGGACTCTTGCCTACAGCCACTGGCCTCCCTTACCCCTAGACTTCAGTCTTCTGCCACTGGATTCTCAATACCACAGCCACCATGAATAATCACTGAGTCACCTTTGCGTCACTCCTTCAAAATTCAAAATTCCAAGCCGAAGCCTGGGAATAGTGGTATTCAGATCACAGCTTAGAAATTGCTGACACAGAACTAAGTTGAGAGTGTGAAAGTTTAAAGTTACAGGTAAGGCTGCCTAGGAATAAGCAGAGTGGGTACCAGGAGGAGCTAGAGCAGAAACTAGGGATTTTGCTAGATATAATAGTCCTGGGACCAAATTGTGGGAGAACTAGAAAGAACATGAGTTAGAGAAACTAACTAAGAGATGACCCCAAAGTAGATTCCAACCCGAAGACCAGACTTCCAAAAAAGTAGTCCTGGAACTGGGGAGGCACACGGGGCACACCTGCCACCGTGGAATTCTATTTTAGACCAGGGAGCCAAGTTTAGAAGCTGGAGAGAACAACAAAACAGAGCAAAAACATGGGCTGGATTTGCGGAAGCTTATATAAGATTGACATTTATTGCGTCTATTCATTGTAGGATGTATCCTTACACATCCAATGAATTGGTTCCCTTAGGCCTTGCCCAGTTGAGGGGAAGTAAAATATAATACACTAGCACCAGTCCTTGGGGCAATGAAGGCATCAGGAGCATTCAAAAATTGATGGGTATTTGCACCTCTCCCTAAGCTTGGCAAAATTAGCCTAACATTGAAGGATGAATACTTCCCATTTGCCTGATTTTCTAGCTCTTTGTTTAGAGGGGTCGTCATATTCTTCCTAATTGGGTCTGGGAGCAGTTTGGGCCAGGTAGAGGAGGCAAGGTTAATGTGCTAGAGGTAACTTCAGACATAGAGTGGACATAAGGAGACCCAGGCTTTGAGTAGTTAGAACAAGTCTAGCAGAAGGCATTTTGAGGATGGTTGTAATGGGATGATAATTAGAGAGCAGAGACCAGTGCATGCATCCCGTGTAGGACTTTCTAGTTATCAGGAAAAGAAAATCATCACCACAGCCTCAGTGATGGAAGCAGCAGCAGCAGGTAGCTTTATCTGAAACAGAAACATTTCTTGGCAAAATCACATGTTCTAGGGTGAGATCGAATGTGCCCTAGCTAAACTCTGAATCTTTTAAACTTTCAGTCAAAGCATTCAGCAAGCATTAATAAACTTGAATAAATGATACATTTCACTTCTGTGGGGGACTTAATATATTTCATTAGTTTTGTTTCACGCATTCCCCTAGCTTCCTCACCCAGCAGACTCTCTCAGGGATTCCAAGACTTACCATTACTTAACACATACATACCAGACCTCTGTGCTGTGTGGGAGGGATACAGAGCTGCGTTTCATTTGTCTTTCTGAAGGAACAGATCTTTCTTTTATTTATTTATTTATTTATTTATTAAGATTTTATTTGACAGAGAGAGAGAGAGAGATCACAAGTAGGCAGAGAGGCAGGGAGAGAGGGGAAAGCAGGCTCCCTGCTGAGCAGAAAGCCAGATGTGAGGCTCCATCCCGGGACCCTGAGATCATGACCTGAGCCAAAGGCAGAGGCTTAACCCACCGAGGCACCCAGGCACCCACAGATCTTTCATTTAAAAGCAATTTGTGAGGTTCCTGGGTGGCTCAGTGGGTTAAAGCCTCTGCCTTTGGCTTCAGGCTCTGGTCATGATCCCAGGGTCCTGGGACTTAGCCCTGCATCAGGCTCTCTGCTCAGCAGGGAGCCTGCTTCCTCCTCTCTGCCTGCTTCTCTGCCTACTTGTGATCTCTGCCTGTCAAATAAATAAAAAAAAATCTTTAAAAAAATAAAAAATAAAAGCAATTTGTATTATATCAAACTCAGCGAGACTTTAGAGATTCTCTATGTCACTTTTTTTGCTTTTGATGGTGTTAGTGTTGGCTTTTGTTTGGTGTTTTGTTGGTTTTGGTTTGTTGTTGTTTTAAATATCCTTGGAAATAAGTGAGCCATTTGAGTCTAAAATTGAAGTCTCCAGGTTATTACAGAGTAAAACTTGACACTATAGATGAATATTCCAAAAGACAAAACAGGGAATGAGGTAACAAAAAGAATCAAAATGAGGGTAAATAGTAGAAAACTCAGTAAGTTAACAGAACATGTAGGAGATTTCAACACCACTTCCCACCTTTAAAACTCCATATAGAACATTTTCAAAGCCACCTCATTCCTTAAACTGGGGTAAACTAGGATTTTATTTTATTATTTTATTTTATTTATTTTTTTAAAGATTTTATTTATTTGACAGTAGAGATCACAAGTAGGCAGAGAGGCAGGCAGAGACAGGAAAGGAAGCAGGCTCCCCGCGGAGCAGAGAGCCCAATGCGGGGCTCGTTCCCAGGACTCTGGGATCATAACCTGAGCCGAAGGCAGAGGCTTAACCCACTGAGCCACCCAGGCGCCCCTTATTTTATTTAAGAATTTTATTTATTTATTTGACAGAGAGGCAGGCAGAGAGAGAGGGAGAAGTAGGCTCCCTGTTGAGCAGAAAGCCGAATGTGGGTCTCCATCCAAGGACCCTGAGACCATGACCTGAGCCAAAGGCAGAGACTTAACCCATTGAACCAGCCAGCCACTCCTATACTAGGAGTTTAGAATTCATTTTTTGAGGCTGCGGGTTTAGAACAACAAAAATATCTCTATTTTATCTAGTTTAGGAAAGTAACAACTAAAGCCTTATTTTCCAGTTAAAAAAGAAAAAGCTGAACATAAATCTGCATGAAATGTTTAATCCCCTGTACGGCTAAGGGCAAATGAAATTTTAGTAGCTAAGTCAAATTAAAGCACCATCCCATATTGTACCTTTTTGTTAAGGTGAATGTCTATACCTTTTGGTTCATTTAGCGAGCTGAAAAAAATAATTCAAACCCTTATATGCATTTCCTAAGTTCCTAGAATGCCAGCCTACTGACATATGATTGTACTATTTCTTATTTGTCAGAGATGATTCTGAATTTCACTGAAAACCACAAAGGAAACCGACAGACCCACATTAATAGTTCTGATAACCCCACCAAGGAGGAAATACAGAGAGGAAGTTAATCTACAAGTCTGATAGGGCAGAAGTGATTTTAGCAGAAGAGCCTCAATATTCAGCCTGTTCCGACACTGACTAATTCTCATCTTTATCCCTGTTCTTCTGGATCCTCTCCCTTCTCCTTCAGGGACTGGTTACTGGGTAGGCAGGAAAGGTGCTTGGATTGGGATTAGCAGAATTCTAGTTCTGGCTGCTGCATTTTCAGGGTCGCAGCCTCAGTTTCCACAGTTGTCAAACAGGATTATTAATACCTGTCCCTCTCTGGGAACTTGCCGGGACCATACAAGACTACATTGTCTCCAGATGAGCCAAGGCCACCATTACTGGGAGAGTAGCCAAGGGAACTCAGCTTCGGTTCTCTCTCTCCGCAAGGCTAGTTCAACCAACAGTCAACAGGAAGCTCCAGGGGTTGGGACAGGATCACCCGCTCAGAAGGAGGCCAGACGCGAGCGTTTTTAGACGGCGATCAGGCAGGTGATGAGAGCGTTAGGAACGCCCCCCTGGCTCAGGCGGCTGGGCTGAGATTTTACTATCAGCGACAAAGGGTGCGGAAGCATAGTACTAAAAAGCAAACAGTCAACCAAAATAACTCAACCCTGTCCTCCTCCACAAAAACAAACAAAGCCCCAAAGCCCTCGGCACTAGAGAACAGGGCAAAGGGAATGGAGAAAGGCAGAGGGGACGAAAGCTACGCCCCTCACTCCATCTACAGGGGCAAGCAAGTCCGCGGCCTCAGGGTCCGCGGAAGGGGAGGGGGCGCTGTGGATCCGCTCTCCTTGTGCAAGAAGCACCACCTCCTCACGCCCCCTCAGCCTGCGCCGCCTCGGGAATCCGCCCCGGACCCTGCCGCCATGTTGGGTCCGGATAAGTGATTCGGACCAGTAGCCGACGGGGACAGAGAGGGGACCGCCCGCAGCTCGCGGAGCGCGCCGGCGCCGGAAGGCGGGGGGCGCTCGAGCCCGCGCGGGCGCGGCGCGAGTTCCGGTGAGCAGGCCGGCCGCGCGCGCAGGTAGCCGCAGCCCCCGCCCTCGCCCCCGCCCCGCCCCCGCCGAGGAGGGGCGGAGTCGGGAGTGAGGGCGGGCGCCGCGCGCAGTGGAGGTGGAGAGTGAGGCCGAGGGGTGGGGGAGCCCGGGAATTCCCTCCTCCTGAAGTAACGAGTGCGGGGCGGCTGTGCCGTCGTCGCTGCAGCGGGGCGCTCGGGACGAGGAGGTGGAGGAGGGAGAGGGCCCCGCGGGCCTCGCCTCCGCCCGCCGCCCCCTCCTCGCCAGCCCGAGCCGCGGTAGCGGCGACTCATGAGAGCGCGGCTGGAGGGCAGGTAAGTACCCGGCAGGGCACCGCGGACGGAGGCGGCCGACCCCGGCTCGGGCAGTGCTAGGCCCCGGCGCCGGCCCGCGCTGAAAGGCGCCGGCGCTCCCCGCCCCCGCAGGCTCCGAGTCGGGAAGTTGGGGAGAAACTTCTCCCCTCCCCCGTCCCGGCTCTCCTGGCGGGCGTGTCTCCTTCCCGGCGCTACCTGCTTGCCCCCTGACTCGTCTCCGCCCCGTCCAGTCCTTCCCGGTCCCGCCCAAGTCCGACTTAAGGTCCTTGGAGCGGTACGCTACCTCCCATCCGTGCCTGGGGGCGAGGTTAATTTTGGCTCAATCGGCGGGACTGAGGGCCGACACCGGCGGCCCTTTTCTGTCCCGGAGCTTGAGGGTCTTCGTGTTAGCTGACGCCGGGTGGCAACTGTGCTGGGAGAGCGGACGTGGGTGTGTGTGGGGGCGAGTGGGTGAGCCTCTCGCTTTACTTGGTTTGATTGAAAACCGCAACATGTTAAAGTTTTCCTTTGTTTTGGGTTGGGGGTTGGGAAGTATGCCATTCAGCATCCACTTTTACAGTATTATGCCACTCAGCCTCCCATTTGGTTCTGTTCTCTGTCCACATGTTACAGAAAATTTTGTTTTTAAAGTGCGTTTTTCTTCTTGATAATTGCTTCCAGTTTTTGCTTTATTGGGCATGGGACAGCGTCGTTTTAAGGAGCTCTTCGAAAACCAACTCCGATGTAGGGATCGCTTTAATTTTTATTTTGTGAGTGGAAAATAAATCCAATGCAGGGATCGCTTTAGTTTTTGTTTTGTAGTGAGTGGGACACAACCTAGTTCTCATTTGGTTAAATTGTTTTCTGCGTAATTATTGAAACAGGCATGGAATAATACACGTTCTAACAATTTATAAATTATTAAAGAAGTGAGACATCTAATGGAACCGCAGTTTTATGTTCATACCATTACGTATGTGTGTCTCATGGTGTGCTTTCACATACAAGATTACACATATGCATTTGATTGTAGTACATTTGTGTCCTTGTAACTGTAGGCTTACAGTGCCAAAAGTATCTCCATAATTCTGAGTATATTTAAACCATCTTGTTAAATCTCTAAAGTTAAGTTACATACTAAGGAAAATATTACCAAATGTGCACATGTAACTGCATTTAAGGCATAGTACCTGGTAAATCTAATAATGAGGGCGGTGGCATACAGTGGACAGAAAACATTTGGAATGGGCAGGTTATGAAGGAGTGTCTTTAGGAGAAAGAGGATCTTGTGTGCATCAAACATGATTCTCATATATTCTGTAAGAAAGCTGTATCTCACTAAGCCATACATAATGTTTTACTAATATGTGAGACTCCTGTCATAATTGACATTTCAGAAAAGGAAGTTTAATTATTTTAAATTTGGGGACATTACCTAAACCTCAGTAGAGATTTTGAAAGCTGGTTGACAATTCATAGGGTCCTAAATTTGAAAAAACAAAATGAAACAGTTGCCTTTGATCTGAATCTAAATACAAGACAGTTCACATCCATGTTTCCAGAATAAAAGATAAAAAGGCTCTTAGAATATATACTCTGGTGTAACCACCATAATGTTATAATAGCTTTTAATTTTGCAGTATGTTTTTGCTGACTTCATAAACCACAAAATTGACTCCTTTCTATTCATCCGAAAGTGAAATTATGGCTTTGACCAGTCTTCCTGGGATAGGTGGAATTTGTCTTATGGCTGAAGTATAATATTAATACATGGCTTAAGTTTTTTTTTTTTTTAAATCAGGAAAATCTCAAGCTGAAAAATCAATGTCCATGCAAATAAATCTCCTTCCTCATACATGATGTTAAAAGAATAAATGTTCTAAGCTAATAGCAACAAGCCAGCGTTACCAGCACATGGTATAAGATTTATTAGTCCAAAGTCCAAATTTCTATCTTTTTAGGCAGTGAATAATTTGTTAACATGAGTAATTTTTCTTAATGAACATGTGTAACTCTCAATCTAGTGTTTAATATAGACATCATTTATTAGTTCCTATTAGGATTATATTTAAAAAAGGTACAAACCCAGTTATTAAATAAGTCGTGGGAATGTAAAGGACAACATAGGGAATATGGTCAATAATATTGTAATACCTTTATATGGTGATAAATGGTAACTAGTCTTATGGGGGGGTGTGTTTCATGATGTATAAAAATTTCAAGTCCCTATGATATATAATAGAAACAGGCAGGGTATTGTATGTCATTTATACTTCAATTAAAAGAAGTGCCTAATATAAAAGAATTTAAAAGCAATACTAAGCTCTGGTGTCTGGGAATGCAAACTTGGGAAATAAAACTGTATTTTTAAAAGAGCTGCAAGGAAGTGATTTCTATAAAAGTAAAGATTTGGGAGATGGGAGAAAGTTGTGACTGGGACCCAGCTTCTGCAGGGGTGACAAGAGTTTTAACCTGGTGGTGGTTGCAAGGGTGTTCCTTGGTATATTCACCAGGCCACACATAAGTTCTGTGTGCTTTTCTGTATCTGTTTTAGTTGGATAAAGAACTTAACATTTAGTGACTACCTTTAAGAACACTGCCTGGGCAGTCCTTTGCAAACAGGATTAGACTTATTAAATCATCATTGTCATATTCTAGCTAGTGTTTGTCACTAATTTGACATATAAGTAACTTGTTAATTATGTTAATATTTTGAGGGAGAACACCAGATTTTACTACCTTTAAATCCTCTTAGCTTATATATTGTAAATGGTAAATAGTAGATAGTCAAAATGTTTATTAAACTAATGGATGCTATTCTGTCATCAAATATAAAATGCAGTTTATTTTTCATAAAATTATGTAAATGACAAAGCTATCATATCAAGGTAATAAGTCTTAACCATTTTGTTTTCCTTTTTCAAAGATTTTATTTGCAAAGGAGTGTGTGTGTGTACACACACACACACACACACACACCACACACACGAGGGCAGAGGGAGAGGGAGAAGCAGACTCCCCACTGAGCAGGGAGTCTGAGGCAGGGCTTGGATGCTAGGACCCTGAGATCATGACTCGAGCCAAAGGCAGATGCTTAATTGACATAGCTACCCAGGTGCCCCCAGTCTCTGTGTTCTGTAACAGTAATTCCTTGGATCAGTAATTTTGGCCTTAGTTTTCATATTCTTAAGGATGTCATGAAATTCTCAGCATAAGAAGTTTTCATTTACTTAAGCTTTATGAAGATGTGCCATATGGCACCTAACACAAGAGTATGTTTTGTTTCAAGAAAGCAAATGACAGTATGGTGTTGGAGTTTCAAAAATGCTGAGAATCATTGTATTATGCTACTTGCTTTATGTAATGGCTTGCTGTTTGAGTTGTTGATTTTGTTGCTTTGCATTGTTGCAATATAGAGTTAAAGAAGAGATCGCATCTGTGCCAGATTCTTATATCACAGGAACTTTCAGTCATGTTATAAAGGTGATGTTTGTGGCACTGGCTTTGTTACGTGAATATTTACAGGAAGTTTTAGTTAAGATCTTCCATTGTTCAGTGCTCTACATGGCTTAGGTCACCTTCAGTTCACATTTTAAACAGGTCTGTAACACAAATCCAGAGTTCTTCCAGAGAAGTACAACTGCTTTTCCTTAAAGGTAATAATCTGTTCCTATTAAAGTATCTTGGTATCTTATTGGTAGAGTGTACAGCAGTTTGTGTGTGGCGATGGTGGGGTTTGTATTATCGCTTTTCTTCCTCTCAGCTGCTCCAGTGCCACAATTAGGCTGAGTATTGCTCAGCTGCAGCTGCTGGGTGATTATGAACCATCCAGCTCCTGTCTAAACTCAGAGGCAGATTTAGCAAAAGGAGCTATAGTAACAGCAGAGGGTGAAAGAGAAGAGCCAGTGAGGCTGCCAATATCATTATAACATATCTCTCTGCCAAGGAATTGTTGGCTACAGCAGCACTACTGTTGTCTTGGAACTAGCAGACTTGATGGCAACATATCCTGGTCTGGATCGAGTTTACCTGATGTTACTCTTTAAAATCTTGAAGCTCACTCCAGGAAAGAGAGAGAATTGTGTAATTTCAAAGTACAGGATAATACTGATGGACCGAGTTACAAGCCTCAGTGCCCAGGATAGCAGTGCCCTTCAGTTTCTCCTGCTTGAGTGTATATATGTGACTGCAGGCTCCCTGAAGTTTATACCATATACTCCATGCTGCTCTAAGCTGGGTCACTTAGAAGTGCTGCTCCTGTTACTGTTTGTGCAGTGGCAGGAGAGCTTTTATGCAGGTTCTTTGGATATACTGCTTTTTCCCAGGAAATGGAGGACCCTCAAGAGGAATAATTTCTAGAGCTACTTGCATATGGTATATCCCATGTCTGCCTGAATTTTGCAGGTAGGAACCCTAGATTCTCTTCTGTTGTTCTTTATTCCTGGGGTATGAGAAGATGGACATCAACAAACACAGACACATTATCAGCAAAAATGGCAAGCCCCAGACCAGAGGATGCCACAGGCAAATTGGGGGCTTCTGAAATGTTTCTCATTTTATAAACTTGCTAAGCAAAGAGCAGCAGCATCTCGTCTTCTCTTTTACTATGACTGTCAGAAAATCTACAGAGACAATTCCTTTTGCTAATTCTGGCTTTGAAACTTTGTTTGGGGTTGGCTAATTTGGGATGGGTAATGGGGAGCATTGGGAGAATCAGTGCTCCAGCTTGTATAACCGGAAGGAAGGAGGAGGTATGGAAGACTGTACCTGAATGTTAACAAGTACACATTGTCGTTGTGGCACATACTTCGCAAAACACTGGTATATTGATTGGCTCCCATCTTTGTGCTCCCACAAAACTCCTCTGGTAAGAAAGCACATTTTCCTTACATCATAATTATTTCTTTCCATTACAGTAATACATGTGGCAAGGAACTGTTTTGTATGAATCTTTAAGAACAGTCTCTCGTAGAATAAATGCTTAATAAATTTTGAGTTGTATACAAAGATGTGGTTGTGTA